ACCGTCTAGCTAGCTAGGGTTTTTTTTTCTCAAAAATAAATGAAAGTCTAGCTAGCTAGTTCGTCGGATTTAGCTGGGCACGAGCCGGCGTCCGCTTCCGGTGGCTGGTGAGAAGAAAGACCTGCAAACCCATTGCCAAGTCTTTGCGAGGAAAATAAATGCAATGACACTCCTTGTCCTTTGGAAACCGTGTCTACGTGCACTCCGTAGTTCCAAGAGGCTTCTATCTTTGTGCCATTATAAAGTTGGTAATTACACAAGTCACTAAAAAAGTTGAGTTCTCACAGGTGCCACTGTTTTGAAGTATTTTGCTCTTTACGCCACTTCCATCAGATTTAGATCTAACGGTGTCAAACCGTGGGTGTGAAAATTCAAAAATACCCCAGGTTTGAATATGCAATTAATTTTTTTGAGTATCTTAATGACCTCAAATGAAAAAAAAACTCAAAATCAAAAAGTTATAGATCTCGACAATATCTATAATTTTTGTATAAAAATTATCTTCATTTAATTCCGTACAAAAAAAGATATGATTTGATATGATTAATATGTCTTAGAAAAATCATATTTTTTGTATGGAATCAAATGAAGATAATTTTTATATAAATATTGTAGATCTCGATGAGATCTGCAACTCTATAGTTTTGACTTTTTCCATTTGAGATCGTTAACATGCTAAAAAAATTAATTGCATATTCAGATCTGAGCGTATTTTCGATTTTTCACACCAGCAGTTTGACACCGTTAGAGACAAATCTGACGGAAGTGGCGTGGGAGAGCAAAAGAGTTTAGAGTAGTGGCACCCATGAGAACTCAAATTTTTTAATAGCTTATGTGTAATTACCAACTTTTATAATGACACATAGGTAAAAGCGTCTAATTCAAGTCTTTGCCACTACACTAGGAGTGGGACACTCCATAGTTCCAAATTTAACAAGGGGTTTCAGAAATCAGTCACACGACTCATACATTTACCCTGCAGTGCTGGGCCGGGACATGGACCAAAAAGTTAACCTGGCTGTGTTTTGCAATAATGCCATGTTTCGGGGGCAAAAGGGATGCATGTAGGATGACTTTTACCACTTTGGTTTAGGAGCTCACAATACGGATCTAGGTTAATTAAGAAATAGATCGCTGGGAAGTCAGTTTTACGATTCTCGGCCATGAACGGCCGGCGCGGTCGGAGTGGGCGCCGCCTCACGCTCGCTCCGGTGGTCAGGCGCGCGTCCCGGTCTTCTTCCTCTTAAGTGACTGCAGAAGAGGGAGACGTAGATGAGGAGGACGAACGGCGGCAGACAGAGGGCCGTGAGGCGCTGTCGAGGGCTGTCTCTTTGGCGGTGGAAGCGTCTCGGCGACCAAAGCCGATTCATGGGGTTCAAGCTACAATCCATGGAGTAGCCCAAGCCGGGCTTTCTCCGATCCGGTCCAAGTTTTGGCGCACAGGGTGTGGCTCCGATTCCGAGGATGACGAATCGGCGACTCCAACCACGCATGAGTTCATCAGGGAGGCCATTGACGCAGGGTTCACAATTGATCAGCTCTCCAGAGCTGAGCAGGCTCTGGACTCCGGTAAAACATTCTCGTCTGATGCCCTTCTTCTCCCAAAGTTCATCATCTCCTCGATGTTACAAGAGAAGCTAGCGGTGAAGCCATGGCAAGGACCTTTGCCTGAGCCTCGTGTGTCTCCATCACGGACACTGGGGGATTTTCTTGCCAAGGCTTCGTACCGGACGCCGGTTTCCCATTGTGGATCGAGCTCTTCATCCCGGGAAACAAGATCGCCGTTTTGCTGCTCGACGGCGAGGAAGAAGGAGAGTTCAATTTTTTTTGAAATCCCGGATTCTCAGGGCTCTGATCCGAATTTTCCTCCACTTACCGATCAGGCGCTGCCGGTCATGAATTGGTGCGCCTCACACGGGGTGGAAGGGAAGTCGGAGCAGGAGCGTCCTGGACCTGACGACCGGGTGCAACTCGGGCCCGGAAAGTTTTTTAGGCCCATGAAGGGTCTATGCGCTCTATTCCTCCGTACCGGCACCAAACGAAAGCCACGCCGCATCCCTAAGGCCCCGTTTGGCAGGGCTTCTTCACCTGCTTTAGGAGCCGTTTGAAGCCGTTTTCTGCCAAACGGGGTAAAGTGAAATAGCTTCACTGGTGAAGCCCCTAAAAACATGCTCTCACAATGATTTGGGGTGGGATGGAGCAAAAAAAAGTGGCTTCTCCCTGCTCCTCCTCCAGGCCCCTAAAAACATGCTCTCACAGGGAAGCCATTTTGCCAAACAGTTTACCAAAACTGCTTCAGCTCCACCGGTGGAGCTGTTCGCGGAGCTGAAGCAAAAAAAAATTGCTTCACTAGTGAAGTGAAGCCCTGCCAAACGGGGCCTAAGCCGCCGCCATCACCCTCTTCGCCACATCTCCGTTCTTTCGCGGACGTGGTTCGTGAGGGCAAGACCATGGCTGCACAAGGACCGGGCAATGGCGGAGACTTTGGCGACCGTGGTGGAAGCAGGGGCGCAGGTTTTAAACCCGGTTTCAACCCGGGTTTTGACCCTGGTTTTGGTGGAAGAGGGCAAGGCCACGGCTTCCAGCAGCGTGGTCGTGGCCGCGGCTTTGGTGGCCATGGAGGTGGACACAATGCTCATGGTGGTTTCGGATACAATGGCTACGGCTACAACTCGGGCTACCATGGAGCCGGTCGTGTTGGTCGACCATATGACGGAGGCTTCGGTGGTGGGCGAGGTCGTGGTGGCTGGAACCACGGCCGGCCTCGTCAACATCAAATCATGGGGCCGCAGCCTGTGCCAGCCGGCCATCCCCAGCATCCGAACAACGTGGGAGGGCAGCCTCCTCTCACAAGCCAGCAGATGGGGACGGCTGTCATGGGGCACATGTTGGCCGGACAGGGAGAGCATCATCCTCTACCCAACACAGTCATCCAGGAGGGGGCATTGCAGGAGACAGGGTAGGGGAAGGAACCAGTACAGCAGGGGGCTTCTCCCAATACCACGGGGGCAGTGCCCTCTCATGCTACTGGATCTACTTCGACAACAGTTCCTGCAGTAGCAACGACGCAGGTGACTCCAGAGGCGCAGAAGGCAGCACTCCCACCAATTGCAAACCAAGCTGTGGCTAACGAAGTACCTAACTCATCTCATCATGGAGGGCAAAAGAATAAGGGTAAACCATTTTGTTATCGTTGACATACTAAAGGTCATACCATACATGAATGCACTGCGGTTCTTTATTGTGATTTATGTTGTGGTGATCATGTCACTAAAATTTGCCCAAATATGAAAAAAATGAACTCTACTGCTATACCATGTGGCTATGCAGTAGAAGGCTTGGGTTTCTATTTCATTCTAGTTGCCGAGAATCCTAAGGTAAATTTAGAGGAAAAATCAGCAGTGGTACGTGTTTTAGAAGGTTCTCTTAGTGCTGACCAGTTGGCAGTGGAACTGGAAAAACTACTACCAGGTAAAAACAAGTGGGTGATTGAGTAGAAAGGCAAAGATGCCTTTATCACTAATTTCCCATCTTCTGATCTACTGGATACTATGGTGAACTGGGGTACCATGGACACAAAATCAGTGAAAGGGAAAATTCGCTTTGAAAAGGGAGTTGAAAATGATGTCTACAAATATGAGATTGATAAGGTTTGGGTGCAGTTCCGAGGGCTACCTAAGGAGTTTCGAGAATTTCCCATTATTTGGGCAATTGGCTCAATCTTAGGTGTTCCAAGAGCTGTGGATACTAAATTTACAAAGAAATTTGGTAGATCAAGAATGAAGGTAGCCGTGCTTGATCCTAATCTCATCCCTGACCTTGTGGATGTGGTTATCGGGGATTTCGTTTACGAGCTGCAATTCAGGGTTGAGCAAGATATGCCTAATGGTGAGCCCGAGGTTATCGACATGGACTCTACCATGGATGATGAAAATCCTAAGGAGGATAAAAATAATAGGGAAAAACCCAATGAGGACATGGATGTGGATGGCAAAAAAGATGACATCCAGGATCCTAATAGTGCACCTGGAAATCAGCTACCTAATTCCGGTCAGCACAGTGGGGCTGTCCAGTAAAAGGAAGATGGTGCTGGCTCTGTGGTTCAGCAAAACAAATCAGGAAAAGCAAGTAACAAACCAGTGATAGTGCTCACTCAGAACGAGTTGTTCTCAAATGGCAATGGACAGTGGAAGGCTAATCTGATTCCTCCACAAACCGACTCTGGGCTCATTAATAAATTGAAATTGCAAAATGGTGGGACGATGCCCCCTGTGAGATCAAGCAAGAGGAATGCAACAACTGCGGATCAAGATTCAGTGGAAAGGGCATCAAATTTGAAGGCGAGAAAGAACTTGGATACTGAGCCAGACAAAGGTTCTCTTGAGGGGAACGCACTGGCTCCGTCAATGGGTAAGATTGCAGCGGCATGACGATCTACGAGATCAGCTCACACTAGCTGCACAGCATCTAGAATCGTCGGCTTTGCAGTTCTTCGGTTCGAATGGGTGGTTGTCAACAAGACATATTGGTCATGCTTAGTCAAAACTTTATTTCGTTCAGTTATTTGCTCGGTTGCATGTAAACTAATTTTTGGAAGTTGGAGTGTGGGCCTTCGGCCGGATCTTTGTAATAATTGGTCTGATTCTATCAGTTGATAGATGAAGCCGGATATGAAATATCCTTTATCTAAAAAAAAGCAAAACAGCCCAGCAGCACACAAGCTCTATGGACCGGCCCAGTTCCATATGATTGACCTCGCTGAAAGAGTTCTGTCCATTTGGCTTGAAACAATAAGCCCAATCATATTATCAATTGAAGCGACGTAGCCTTCTGGAATCGTTATCTTTGAGATTTCTCAAGAAACAACGTGAGTGCATCACTCATACGAGATTAGGAGTGATGACGTACAGTACTATGAGCTGTGTTGTATGATGTAGCAGTCGACAGGAATTGGGGTGGTTGAAAAGGGTTCTGTCCACGAAGTCACGGACTAGTGACAATTAGGAGGAGAACTTGAAGAGCATGTCGTGCCGGTACACCCCGCCGGTCCTGACGATCTCCGACGGGAAGCTGGGGTGGTTTACGGCGTCGGGGAACGCCTGCGTCTCCAGGCACAGCGCGCCGTACTTCTGGTACACCTTGCCGCCCTTGCCCTTCTCGTCCTTGAGCCAGTTGCTGGTGTAGAGCTGCACCCCGGGCTGGTTCGTCCACAGCTCGAACGCCCGCCCGGACGCCGGGTCCCGGACGAACGCCACCTGCGTGAACCCCTGCCCGTGCACCGCCACCGCGTAGTTGAGGTCGTAGCCCACCGCGCCGCCGCCGGAGACGAGGTTGATGCGGGCGCCGACGGGGGTGAGCCAGCGCAGGTCGTAGGGCGTCCCGGCGACGCCCGCGATCTGCCCCGTCGGGATCATCGACTGGTCCACGGGCGTGTACAGCGACGCGAACACCTGGATGAGGTGGCCCAGGACGTCGCCGCTGCCGTGGCCGCCCAGGTTCCAGTACGCGTGGTTCACCAGGTTCACCGGCGTCGCCTTGTTGAGCGCCGTCGCGTTCATGTGCAGGGCCAGGTCGTAGGGGCTGGACAGCTGGTACGTCACGTACACGTCCAGGTCGCCCGGGAATCCTGCACCCAGTACGTTCCGTTGATTTGAGCGTCATCAGCATGTGCAGCACTATGCGGTTTGAACAATTAAGTGCAAAGTCAGCACGATGCGTCATCAGCACATGGTCGGTCAGAAGCTAACTAAAATATATATTCTTTTTTTGGCGCGTTTTGGGTTCGTTTACCTTGCTCTCCGTCGAAGCTGTGGTAGTAGAAGGTGATGTAAGGGGAGTCGCAGTCAGGCACCGTCCAGATGACCTTGCTGAAGCCCCTGTGGCCACCTGATCGATGAACAACGACGGCGAGACTAAGCTAGTGAATCCATGGAAGATAGCACATCGTACGTGATCCATGCACGAGAGTGACCTGAGAACGATCGAGAGCGTACCGTGGAGTGCGTTCTTGCCGTCGTTGATGTACAGGCGGTAGGCTTTGCCGTCGAGCACGAAGCGGCCCTTGGCGACTCTGTTGGCCACGCGGCCGACCAGCGCCCCGAAGTAAGAAGAACCGTTCTGTTTGAGCAGAGGGCGCACAACACAATACAGCCGTGTCGTTGAACACCGGAGGAAGAGGAATTAATGATGCACACTGCAAGCTCTAGAGTGCATGTGAGAACAGAGAGATCGATCTGTCATCTTACCACATACTCAGCGATAGTGTCATACCCAAGGACGACATCAGCCAAGTTCCCTGCAGCAAGAAATAAATTCACAAGAGCATGTAAACCAGCTAGCGTTATGATGCAGTCACAAAGCATGCATTACGCAGAAGGACTCCAGCTTGGAAGCTAAGGAAACCATGCATACCTTTGGAGTCAGGAACCATGACAGACATGAGGGTGGCTCCCCAGTTGGTGACCTTGATGGAGAAATCCCCCTTCTTGTTCTTGAGCTCGTAGACCCCAACCGTCTTCCTCGCAGCATCGTCATGGTCGGCCAATGCAAGGCACAGCAGTAGAGCAGCAGGGAGGACCAACGCAGCTCTCGCCATTGCTGGCAAAGCTGATCGCACACACTAGGAATTGAAGGGTGCACGTTACAGAGAGGAGAGGAGATGTGGCGCAGCTGGGACGACTACTCACGAATGTCTATATATGTGCGGATGATATATAACCTGATCAATCAGCTGATCTTCTCCGGTTTCTGCTCCAAAGGGGGTCTTAAACAAAAGGATCTAACTAGTGACATCCTTTTCAATTCCTATATATGCTGGCATCCAGTGCTTGTTTTCTTTCTAGAGATCTGAGATCTACTCTATCGTAGTCTTTGGCTGCTAGTCTCAGCTTAATTATTTGCACGATCGTTTACTTTTTGTCACATTTATTCATGGCACGTTGCCACGTTGCATCTTTTGGCTCAGAGATCTGAGATGCTGCTAACCATATGCATGCAGATGAATGGTAGATCTCTTCGGTTCGGATCTGCCTCTAGTTAATTGTGAAAATATTTTGTTCAACAGAACTCTATAAACCAGCAATTGTTCTAAGGCAGCAAGATATGTTTTCCCACTGACAGGAGCTACATCTCAAAAACTGTTGGGACCAGCTAAATCTCAACTAACAAAGAACTCTACAAGTCGATCTGCATTGCACCCATTCTCTTCGAGAGATCAGATCGGTTAATAGCGTATATGGCTCAAGTTATTCCCTTTTCGCCTTACTTTTCATTATATTCAATCTCATCGTGTGGTTCCGACACCTCTTGGCCAAATTCACCAAATGGTACAGAGTTTGGTTTTGTTCAATCAAGCCTTCGTGATTACCAAATTCAATCAAAATGAAACATGTAGGTGATGAGTTCTTGCAGAAATAGGATTTTCCTAAAGATATAGGATCATTTTGCATCAACCATATAAAACTACAGTACCAAGAACAACCCATGAATCAGGAGAAAGGCGAGATTTAAGTATACGGAAGTCAGCACCACAAAGGTCCTCAAGGATAATAGACAGCCCGAAAAGAATAGTGTAATAAATGCTATGGGACCACAACGATCGATCAAATTTCTTACGAAGAATAACGCACAAATAGATAAGACCAGCGCAATATAAATGCACAAATTCCTATCGCATGGATAGCGCCGGATATCCTCGGAATGACTTGATCTCCAAGCTGATAGGTTCACCTGGCCTTCGTGGGCCTCATCCTTCGCCGTTTTCGGCCTGATCAGATAGGCATAGCGGTGCAAGTAACGCAGGCCCATATATCCGACACGAAGCATCACTGTCTGTTGAAGATCGTCGGTGATGGTGCCGTAGATCCAGGTGAGGACGGTGCAGTCCATTTGCACCCATGACGATTGGTCGGGGTTGGCCACGTCTTGAGGGCATACATGCTGAGGACAACGAGGAAGAGGGTGCGCCACCAGCTATAGTTGTTGGCAGCGCGATCCATCGTCACGGGGACGAGCACCTTGATGTTGACAATGGCGATGGTCTGTGCATGCACGGCGGCGTGCTTGGAGGCACAGAAGGAGAGGTGCACGTGGATGGCGAGATCGGACAGTAACAGGAGGAGTGCACCGGTGAGGGAACTCAACGACGGTGAACCAGCCGGCGAGGGGCTCAGTGGCGGCGGTAGTAGGGTCTGTAGAAGCAAGGAGAGGTCGCAGAAGTGAACCATCTCTTTGATACCATGAGGGAGTATTAGGGTTTAGATAGTGCTCGTAACATTGATCAATGGCAACCATTGAATAGGCACGATGGGGAGCCTAGATCAGCAAGCCCATGGCCCATGGGCTTACACTCTAACAAACACACACCCAAACACTTGCTACACGCAACCCATGCACACCAACATACACCACTAAGGTGCACATTATACTGGAACCTATACTAAGTTACTAACACACCCGCTTACAAGAAATTCATGAAGTCGGCGCCGCTAACAACGAGCACACCGCCGCCTATTGTGGTCCATAGGTACCTGAAGATACCTGCAAGAAAACTAGAGAAAAAAACCCTGGTGCGAATCTGTCTCGAGGGACGCTCGAACACGGCAGGTGCTCCACCGAAGATCCCTGCTAACACGCTACGCATGCCTTCGCCCGTAACATGTATTTACTAGTTTGGTCCTTGTGGGACAGATCTGGGAACGCCACCCACCAGCGATGCGTCTCAATCTACACGCATCTGATGAAAAAATGGCATCGCATCTTGCAACTACATGTGGTTGCTGAGGGACTCACTGAATCACCGCAAGCACAAAGAGAATCAGTGAATCTATATTACTTTTTTAAAGATATAATCAACTCCAACAGACTGGGTAAATGTATTCGTGAAGCCATTTATATCTATTGTGCTTCTAAAAATCATTTCAACAGCTTGTCTATATTGTTTTCCATTTTTCCTTGCTAGCTATCCCACCATTCTCGCTGACCATATTCCCCAGCGAGTCCTACTTGCTATCTGTGTTTTCCAATTTAGCTAGGCTGTTGTAAAACTTGACATTTTAGATGGGTTTCCTATTTTATATAATGGTTAAATCTCATAATTAACATCTAATTTTACCAAGTCTTTTGGAGTTGACACTAGGAGTGAGACACTCCATCTTACTGTTACTAATTAGAGGCCCCAACGGAGCCTCTACATTAATTCTCACCAGAACCGCTAGAAAAAAAGATAAATGCTAGAAATTCTCACATTAATCAGAAACATCTAACCTTTAATTGGAAGACTCCAACTATCCCTTAACCGTAGATTTATTTTCTTTTTTAAATTATCCAGCTCCACAATTATATAGATAAAAAAATGACGTATGGGGAAAAAATCTTCAAGAAAAAAAAACGTATGAGAAAAAAAATCTCCTATACACAATTTCAATGTACGGAAGAATTTCTTCAAAAAAAACTAATGTCTTTTTTTGCCAGGAAAAAACATTCTGTTGATCTATCTACAAATAAAAAATACCCGTACGGTTAGATATTAATAAAATATCACGTAAACAATGCCCATCACATCCACGTTAGATAATCTATAAATAAAAAATAAAAAAATCAAATAGAAGGTTAATCTGTTAATCCGAGAAAAAATTCTTCAAGAAAAAATAACGTACGGGAAAAAATCTCCTGTACCAAAGTTTACACAACTTCAACGTATAGAAAAAATTTCTTCAAGAAAATAAAAACGTACCGGAAAAATCTCCTACTCACATTCATAGTTGGTTAAAACTATAATATCTGCGGTTAGTATCTTAATAAAATATCAAGTCAACAATGCCCATCACATGCACGTTAGATAATCTATTAATAAAAAATCAAATAGAAGGATGATCCATTAATTCATAAAACATGAGATACAATCTACTAACCCCAACAAATAAGATATACAAATGAGCTCATATCAAGAATAAAAAATACATTGCTACACGTCTTATCATCATTATATAATAGTTTTTATGATTTGGAGGAAAAGATGGAGGTGAAATAAAGGTTGTAGTTTTGTGAAACAAATATTTTATATAAGCTAAAATTGAGGACTACGAGACCCTTATTGCACCATTGTATGAGTTGTTTTCATACAACTTACAATGTAACTTTTGTTTCTGCCCAAATTAAAAAAATTAGGAGTTACTATGTGATAACTCAAAAGACAACTATTATACATATATTGTCTATTAAGTTCAACACTAATGCATTTACACTAAAGAGGCATGATGGTCTAAACAACAAGAAAAATTCATCAACCATGAGGAACCAGGAATCCATCTATTCATCGCCCATCAAGTTGTTTTCATCGTTCATCGACTAAAAAATAGTTCGAAACAACTTCCCAAATTTATAACTAAACTAGACCTTAGCTATAAGGGAAGGAAAATAACCTTCTAATTCACTTATAAATTACCCACATCTATTCAAAATACCCATCTATGTCATTATAAAATATAATAAGATTATACCTTTTAGTTTGTATCAAAGTTATCAACCTTAGTCTTTATAAAAACATAAGTAAAAAAAATCTCTCGTATCTATATGCAAATACCAATACAATATATTAAAAATAGTCCAACACCAATATGAGGACGCTACATAAATTTCTAAATTACACACTTCAATGTTCGCTATGTTTGGTCATGTAGAACAAGTAAAATAGATATTAATAATTATCAAACACGGAAAATAGTCCCTTAACAAAACCACATAGCAATTATACCGACAAAACCACTTAAATCTGCATCTAAATTAACACTTTTTCATTATTTAAAAGACTAAAAGAACCCTCAAATCTACATGTAAGCTATCATCTTCTACTACTACAAATATTTAAATTGCCATAAAGCATATATATGTTTCTATGTTAAATTTTACTCCCTCCATACTAAAAAATAAAGTCGTTTTGGACAGCGACACGGTCTCCAAAGTATTACTTTGACTCTTTATTTTTATAAAAATATTTATCAAAAAGTGATATATATATATATATATTTATAAAAGTATTTTTCAATACAAATCTATTTATATGGCTTTCACATTTCCAAACTCAACAACTTAAAAGTTATTCATGATTTATATTCCCAATGTTTGACCCAAGCCTTGTAAAAAATGACTTTATTTTTGAATACAGAGGGAGTATTAATATTGATACATTAGAATTTTATTGAAGTAAATATACATATTATGGCTTCATACATATCAAGTACACATGCATGCTTGAGAGATAAATATATATGTTCAATTTTAGCAACCATGAAAAATATTTTTTTAACAACTCATATACTAATGATACTAACAAATTATTTAAAACTATATTACTAAAGGAGTGACATATAATTTATAAAAATATTTATTATATATATGTTACTCCTTTCGTTTCAAATTATACGTCGTTCTTATTTTCTTTCTAGATACATAGTGAAGCTATGTATCTAGACACAGTGTATATCTGAATATATAACAAAAGCCTACCAGAAATGTCTGAACAACTTATAACTTGGTGTGGAAGGTGTACATTTTAACTAAAATCTTATCTATATTGGTAGTATAACCATTACTGCA